GACATCCCGCGAAGCCGCCAGCGCCCGCAAGTCCGTTTCCCCGCGCGTCCGCGATCTCCCTCGGCCCTTCGATCCCTCTCTCGTGCGATTTATCCCGAGAACGGTACAAGGATGTTTCTTCTCATTATTTTAGTATATATTTATGCCTTGTGTTGATGCCTTGTTGGGAGATCTCGTGTTTAGGATCAATATACGATTGATTTTACACGTGATTTATTTATTAGTGTCATTCGAATGTGATCTTGTGTTAAATCGTGTTATTTGCTGTGGATATATGGAACACTTGAAGTCTTTTGTCTTATGATGAAGGCCTTAGACGAAATTGTTGATTTATTTATTAGTTATGCATTTTTGAATCGTGTAGTGTTGCTGAATATTCAAAAAATCATCTAAATTCGTATACTCGTCCGATTGCTGCGAAATTTTGAACTGTATAACCCTCTGATAATGATATAGGTCGTGTAAAAATTTCAAATCAAAATAAGGTCTGTAGCTATGTTAATTGCCGATTTGAAAATCTGACCTGAAACTTGGAAAAATCATTAAAAATTGGGTACTTGGTATTTTTCTGTGAATTTTGGTGAGGGTCAGTAATTTGATGAAATGTGTGTTGTGTCCAAGTTTTACTAAAAAATTCAAAGAATTGCTCGGTGAACTAGAAAGTTCAGATTTTAATCGTATTTTAGTAAAAATTTGTTGATTGGGTTAAATTGAAGAGTTGGATCTGAAACCCTTGTGATTATGTGCCTTTCTGAGTCTATTTTAATGTGTTAAAGTTTCAATTAAATCGGTCGAGTAAATTTTGAAATCGGTCGGCCCTATATGAAACCCTACCTTTCTTCCGGGCCCCTGTGCACTGCTGCCAGCGCCCGCACAGCGTGATACGGAAGTGGTCATCAACCCCGGCGAGTCCGACAAGGAGGAGGACGATGGTCTCGATATTTGGTTGGAGAACATGTTCGAGGAGCCATCTAGTTCGATTTATCGACCATCATGCGTACGAGATTGGCTGAGAGGATGTGGTCCACGGGCTAAATTGAAGATCAAGAAGCGCAAGACCAAACGAGCACAAAGGAAACGCAAGGCGAAGACTAAGGAATCATGTTGTTGGTGTAAGCCTTGTACAAAGAAGAGACGAGCCCGAAGAAAGAGGGCTAGAAGACGTGGGTTGCGATGGGTTGACAAAGGATGGTGGATACCGGCCGAGGGATGTGCTAGGTTGGATGGATGGGATCCATGGCCCGAACCAACGGTGGCGATCGCCGGCGAAGAAGGCGAC